ATAAACTTGGCCCAATCAGGTTTCGGAACTCAAGTTATGGTTAAAAAGGAAGTTGATACGTCAAGAAATAATATCCCTTCTGTTTCAGCTCTTACTTTGTCTATCATGAAAAGGCTAAATGTATTTTTTGTGATCGCCCATATTTTAGTAGAAACAGTAAGAAAGCTCCCAAGATGGCCTTAGATGAAAGGAAATCTCCAGTTATATGCAAAAGGAGTTGTTTAGTTAGTCTTAAGCTAGGACACATTGCAAAAACATGTAGAAATAAAGTTCAGTGCGTAATACCTGGATGATGACATTAAGCTCTACTTTGTCCAGATTAGAAGAAAGGGTCTACTAAATCCACTTTTCAAATTCCACAGCAAGCAAGTGCCCTACATTGTTTACAGGAGAATTCTTTTTGCAGGAAATCTTATCTAAAGATAGTCTTGATTAAAGCTTGCCATTAAGGGAACAAAGTTACAGTACACACTCTGTTGGACAAGGCTTACATCGATCATACATCAAAAAGAATTTAATAAAGGAACTGAAACTTTTTCCTACCAGTACAGAAGTTCTGTCACAAGCATTATTTGGTAGTGGAACTCTTCCTGCCCTAGAATACAAAAGGTACAATATTACAGTAAAGAGTTTATATGAAAGGTTTTGCTCGAAAATTTCTTTTTTGGATCAGCCCAAAATTTGCACCACCCTACCTAGAATTCAACACAATCTTCTAATTCTGGAACTTAAAGATTATGGAATAACACTTCAGACACTTCACCAATATGAGTTCTTCTTGTCACGGATATTTTAGGAAGGATTTTAACTGGAAAAATTATTAATGCATTATCAATGGAAATTTCAGCTATAGAAACCTTACTTGGCTGGACCATTCCAGGTCTTGGGAAGAAAAGAGTAGTAGTTAACATCACACTCTGCCTAAAAAACGTTTAGGTGAAAAAGATGGGGGAGTTAGAAACTTTGGCCATCTGTTATCCAATTAAACAGAAAAGCAAGACAGTGCTAGTAAATGAAACTTTAATGCATTTCAAGAAAACGTTGACTATTAACAGTGATAATCGTTGTGAGGTGGCTTTACCCTGAGTAGTGGGGCATCATCCTCTTCATGATAACTATGACATAGCTGAAACGAGACTGCAATCTGTTACTAAACGGTTACGAAGAGAAGATATCTTGGACAAACATCATGAAATTACTTTGCAGTGGGATAAAGATGCATAACAGAGGAAGTAGAGCCATCTGCAATCAAGAGCAGTGTTTATTATTTACCACATAGACCGGTAATTAAGCTATCAAGTACAACCACAAAAATCCCCCCCTGTGTTCAATGCCTCGGTAAAGGTTGCTGTCTGTGCATCCTTAAAAGATTGAGTACGGGACCCAGTCTCACACAGCTGGTTCTCCCACTATTGAACAGATTCCGACTGCATGCTGTAGGAGTAATAGTATCAAACAAGTTTTCCTACAGCTTAGCATACAACCAGAAGATTGAGATGAACTTCGATTTTTATGGTGGAAGGCTCCTGGAAATTTAAAAGAATACAAACATTGTCATGTGGTGTTTGGCATTAAAACAAGCCCTTTCTTGCTAAATGTGACAATTTCGCATCATTTAGGTTTAGAAAATATCAAACAGAAGAGCTGAAATTTAGCATAGAAAAACTAAAAGCAATTTTTATGTTGACAACTTAAAGTAGTTAAAAGTGTAGATGATGAGCAGGATTTGCACCTACTTCAAAAACAAGCTGCAAATATAACGCAAGAAGGATGTTTTAATTTGCATTGCTGGTCTAACATACGAATTCAAGATGGGAATCAAAAGGTACTTGGCCTTAATTGGAATACTACGACTCACAAACTGAGCTGTGCTTTACCGGAGACTTTAGTGAAATTAGAAGAAAGAGTTACGAAAAGAAATTTACTTTCTGTGTTTAACACATATGATCCCATCACTTTTACATGTCCAGCAATGCTCTTGCCAAAGCTCTTGTTACAAGAAGACTGGAAAAGGAAACTTATTTTTTAAAAATTTAGATAATCATCTGGGATGAACCATTCCCAGATGATTATCTAAAGAAATGTAAGGAATAAGCAAATCACCTGTCTCTTGTTGAACATAGTTCTATTCCCCGGCAGATGCGGACAGGAAAAGGTGAAGCTGCCACACTGCATATCTCTTCTAACACATCTGCAAATGCATATGCTTATTGTGCATTCTTACATTGTGGGAAGGAAACTACAGTATTCCTACATTTAGTACCAGCAAAAGCCTGAGTAGCCCTGATGATCCGGCCTACTATACCTAAACCAGAACTTCTTGGAGGTGCCATTGCGGCATGAATAGCAAAGTCTATTTTGGAAGATACAAATTTACCTTTAACAATGGACAGATTCTATAGTGGTACTGGCATGGACAGCCAAGAAGGAGCCCTGGAATAACTTTGTTGGTAACACAGTTAAAGGAATTCAGCTGCTGGAGATACTTACCTCGTGAACTTATATGCAGATTTACCATCTCGATCGTGCACATGGCCAAAACTGATGAAAATGAGATGGTGGGAGGGTCCTTCATGGTTAAGGAAACCTGAAATTACATGGCCTGTAACAAAAATAGTTCGTCCAGAAGAAGTTTTACAAGAGTGAAAATAACCATTTGTGGACCTCAAATATTCAAGGAAGTGAGAAATTTAGTTATAGATTGTTGTATTTCTAGAAATATTCTAAACAATTATGCATGATTATTTTGCTAATTAGATTTTGTGACTACTTAAGAAAAGAGAAGACACAAATTTCTATCTCTTTAACCAGTGAGGAAATACAAAGGGCCGAAACTGTACTTATCAAGTTGATTCAGAGGTAATGGTCAGTAAAAGACAAGAAGAAATACGAAAGATCATTGAAGTTCTATGAATACAGAGGATTATTAACAGTGTAAATTCAGCTCATCTTTGGAGATGGCACCGATGATTTTAAGTGTTCTATAGTTCTACCTGATTATCCAAATGTCCAATGTCTAATTGAGTATACGCACAGGACATTAAGTCATGCTGGTCTACAATCTTATATACAGCTAGAGAAAGATTTTGAATACCTCATAGGCAGAGAATTATTCATGAGGTTATATCTGGCTGCATTACATGTGGCAGACATTCGTCTGAGTCCATAGTTACAAACTTTGTGGGTACTTCAAAGGCTCTTGAAACAATAGACTAGAATGTCATTCAAGGAGAGCAAGAACTAAGGAAGATAAAATCAAATTTTAACCCACGAAGTGCACCATGGTATGGTGCATGGTGGAAGCATACGAAAGGCAGTATGAAAGATCTACTGAAAAGAATTCTTTGGAAAGCTAGTCTAAATTATGAGGAAATGTCAACAGTTTTATATGATTGTGAGAGTACAGTCAATAACAGCCCTTTAATTTATTTGTTGGAGAATCCAGAGGAACCATTACCATTAACACCGGCACATTTCCTACATAATACTTCAAACTCTACTAATTGTGATACTCTTGATTTTGACACAATTCATTGTCATTTGAAGAAAAGGATACGATATTTGTAAAGTGTTCGAGATTGTTTTCAAAAGAGATTCCATAAAGAATATCTGTTTGAGCTTGTAAGGAATCCTACCATCATGGCAAGAGGTAGTATTCAAGTAGGAGATGCACTTGTGAGATCTGATAGCTCCAAAAGAATTAACTGATCTTTAGCCAGAGTGGTGAAACTATTTACAGGATGAGATGGAAACAGCAAGTAGCTCGAGTGAAATTGGCAAATGCAGACATTATCCGTCCCCTTCAGCAGTTATATCCCTTAGAGATTACATCATTAGATTTAACACTTCAGGACAAAGCTGGAAGCTTAGGGCCCAGATTATGCCCTAAAAGGAAAGGAGAAGATTCATTACCCAGTTGTGACAATTCAAAATCACATCCTTCAGACTTGGCATTACCCAGTGACAGAACTATTTTAAGTCCTAAACTCTGACATACTCAGAGTGGATGACAGGTAAAGCAACCCAAAAGACTCAATTTATAAGTTACAGTTTTTAAGGAGTACATCAGTTTTGTCTTGTAATATCTAGAAGTACAAGACAGAAGGTGGGAGGATGTTGCATATTGATATTCATTGTTATTGGTTTTAGAATTCAGTTTTTATTTTCTATATCATGACAACTAGATATTCTATAATCTAGAGAAAATGTTTTGTGAGTAACCTGTGTAGGGCTTCTAAGCTAGTAAAAAATGTCTTAGTATGAAATAAAATATTTAGTTTACAACTATATGTTCCTTTTCTTGAGGAGTTACAACAGCTATAGATCTTCTAAATTAGAATAGCCTGATAAATAAAATTTCCCTCTCAAAACAGTTTGAAGCCAACACTGACAGTACAATGTTGCATTACAGCATAACTAGAAGCTCAGGGCCCAGATTAGATCTTTAAGAAGGCACTTCTTTGGTAGAACTCATACGACACAAAATGGAAGATATGCTTATAGTTCATTTCCAAAATGACTGGCACTTGATTTCTTCATTTTTTTACTGTGCATGTTTTAAGCCAACTAACCCCTTTTGAAAGTTTCCTCTGCATCCTCACTGCTATATTTGCCTCGAGGGCACTTTAGATTCACGTATTTCATCAACGGACATTACTTTTCATTAAACCCATCATCAGTCTTTTCTATTAAATCATCAAGTTCTATAAGCTATAATTTAACTCAGATTAAACAAGTATTCTATTTAAGACAGGAGTGTGAATAAATTTATAAGATGCAAGTTATACATCTAATCTACTGTAAAGATAAAAATTTTCGTTTAAGTCAGTTTCAAACTACTCTTTATGACAGCCATAATTATGTTACTAGTTAATAAAAGATTGACATTTTTTAATAATTTAAAGGTATGGGCACAAACAATGCAATTAAAAATGCAAATTATATGCAGTAAATACAGACATGTAGTAACACTACAAAAGTTCTTAAGAAGTCATACATACATGTTACCATCACTAGTTGAGTTGCGTTGCAGAAATAAGTCCCAATACGATGCAATAACCAAAGATGTATTGCTGAGGAAGTTGTTATAACTGAAGTCGATGAATTCAAGGATATCCTTAAATAATTACAGCGTAACATATAAAAGGATGTAAAAACTTTTAGTGAGAAATACAAATTATGATATAAATGTTAAAATAATTAATAAAATTGTAAAGAATACATTTATGAACTTTTCTAACATATGGTACTTACAGAAAATAAGACCATTCACATATATATCAATTAACAACACAATTTTAGACATTTAGTCTAATATGTCAGTCAGTTACAAAGCCATTTTAAAAGAGTTTTATTACAAATCAAAATTAAACACAAATTCTAATTAAATTCTAATAAAGCTAATAATAAAATTTTAAAAAATCTAAATAATGTTTATAACATCTAATTAATAAATTTGATATAAAAAATTAGGGAACATTAGGGACACTTGATTATTAACCTTTTAACTGTCATGCCCGAGATCACTGGTGTTCGAAAATGTCACGCCCGAGTATTACTCGGGGTAATTTTTTTTTTTTTTTTTTTTTTGAGTGCATCGTATTGTTATACCCGAATATATATCGGGAGACGTTTATTTCGGCTTCATTTCTTTGTCAAACCCAACCGTATCTCGGGAAAAGTTAATGTGCGCTCAGTTCAATAGATGACAGCACTTTACTGAAGATTTCAAAGGTTAGAGGTTATAAGTTCTTTGGTTCAAAGTGCATGGGATCTTTTTGTTGTAAAATGGCGTCCAGTTCTTTGAAACGTTATATAGATGATTTAGATTCGTCAACCGAAGATGAAGGATGTGTGTTTTATGAGCAGTATTCATGATACTTCCATGGTCAGCCTCAAAAATAAAAAAATGGAGATATACTCAAGGCGAAGATTGTTTCTAATTGCAGTCTAACTATGGGTGGTGTAGATCGCTGTGATTAGGAAATATCCTTTCATCCAACAATCCGTTAAACATCAGAAAAAATATTATAAAAAGATATTTTTACATTTACTAGACAAGGTACATTGGAACTCATATTAGCTCTATAAAAATGTAGTTGGAAAACATATTACATTTCTAGAATTTCGAATCCAAGTTGTAGAAGAGCTTTTACATAAATATGATGATGCAGCTTCTGGACAAAAGAATGTTGGCAGACCACCTACAATAGATAACCCTGCCCGTCTTACTGAACGATATTTCATATCCCATATTCCTCCTACTCCTGCGAAACGTGCGCCTACAAGACAGTGCAAAGTGTGTTGTTCGAAAAAGGATAAAAATGAGGAAAAGATAAGGAAGGAATCACGACTCTGGTGTAGTGATTGTGAAGTTGGTTTGTGCTCGGAAAAGTGTTTCCAGTTGTACCACACAAGACTGAATTACTGAACTACTAATACGTATTCACTTATATTTATTTCTTTTTTAGAAAATAATATCTTTTTTTTCATTTTTAGAAAATAATGCTCCACTAGAAGCGAACTTTACAAATGCCATGTTGAGTGGCAGCCGCCTCAAGCAAATATGCAGTGGCTACAAAACTTTAAAAATTTTACCCATGTACTTCAAAATATCAATTTTTAACTACTTAAGAATATTTTATTTTGTACTAAACATTTGATTTTTCCAATAAAAAAATTTTACAATTTGTGTACCCAAATCATCAAAATAACTTGACAGTTAAAGGGTTAAGAATATTTGTTACTCTGAGCAAAATGTACATAAAAAGTAGAGTTTTAAAATTTCATAATATATTTAAACATACTTAATGGTACATCCTTTTGTACAAAGAAGGAACATAATCATTTTCCACCATTTTATTTTAGCATGAGAAATACTTTTCCAAATCTGGCAAGTTCAACTTTCTAAAAAGTAAATATATTGATAGCAAAATTTCTGTTATTCGCAGCTTCTGAAATTTAGTTATGTATTATTTTAACACAGAGACTTTTACTGTAATACTTGATATCTACAGTAAAATGCCATTGTTTATTTCAATCTCAAATAGACTTTTGTTAGTGGAGATATTTGATTTCACTCTTCTAGGATTAGGATTATTTATACTAGAGGATAACCTGCCTAAGGGAAGGGATCCTTCATGAACAACTTATTAAGAAACAATCATATTCATGTTACACATAGGGAAAACCATGAAAATTCTTATGCAGCCAGCCCATTCACTAGGACTTGAAACCAGGTAAAACTACCAGTGTTAAACAGTTTTTTTCTAGTGAGTCCCAATTCAAGTATTTCCTTGAAAAAATTCCACGTAACAGACACAATTATTTGGGCTTTACTGTATGCTAAAGTAAATTTTACATAAAATGAACCTTATAATACATATTTAAAAACCATAAAATTCATATAATTCATAACTGAGGAAATTTTAACAAAAATTAACAAAACTTGTGGAATTTTTATGTAAATGAACATAACAATGGAATTTTAAAGGAATGCTTAAATGTGAACGATTTTGATTTTGTCAGATACTTAATGAAATGGAAAGATATTGTTATGTGTGGTTAAATAGAATGAAATGTTCAATGTTTTGTTCTAACATGTCAATAAAATTACACGAGGGAAAAAACATGAATGAAAAAAATAACCCAAACACTTAATGACAATTATTGTCATAATTTTTTAGTTTCATTCATTTCATTAGTGTGATAGCAAGCTTCTTATTTTTCTTATTTTCAAGTATATAATGTATTCAATTTATATTTTTATAACTTTAATCCTCTAAGCAGTATGACTGCTTTTATCCTGTTATGAAATTTTCTGCCGCTTAGTATATCTGAACTTGTTATTTGGAATATTTTGCTTTCTTATGTTTTTAACTATCCAAATGAATAAAAGATTATGAAAACGAAGAGAAAAATAAGTAATTACACAAATCTAGCTGATAAATGTTTTTAAACACAGCTCTTCATTAAAAAGTGCAAACAGCCATGCCACCCATAGTGTTAATAGTGGACTTATAGGTATAGTTGTGTTTATATTTTTTATGCAGATTTAGGCGGCTACATTTTAAGCTAAAAATATGCTTACAGACTTGTCTTCAAATCATAACTAAGAGAAAATATCACAATGATCATAAATTATATCAGAAATTATTAAACTTTAACAGACAGAGAATGAAATACCGTATTTATGCGAATCTAATGCGCATCCCCATTTTAAAACTTTAAATAATAAAAAAATTGTTTGCCGGCGAATGTAATGTGCATCAATGGTATGAGGAATTTATTGAATCTTATTTTATATAACAATGGATTTGTATATAAACTATCAGTCAATGGTATGATAATTTTATTTAAATTTAGATACCATATTGTATACAACAATGGATTTATGCATAAAGTAGCAGAACATAGAATTAACCTATTAGTGGGCTATTGCTATGTGAAACAATCATTGTTAATTACCACTACCGTATATATGATAAATATCGTAAAGTATGAACATGAAATAAATCGTAACATTTCTATCTAGCTAACAGTTTCTAAAATCAGTGATTAATAGTAAACGTCTTTATTCACTATTTTGATGATAACTTCCTTAGTCCCCTTCTCCGTAATGGTGTAGTTACGAGGCATATCAAGCCAAATTGGCATCTCGTCAGCGTGGCCAATTTGCCCCATTGAAAAATTCTTTTCCTTCCGAAGTGTGGTGACATACCGCTAAAATGTTAGTAGTTTTCCCTCAAAATCTGCAGGAAGCTTTTGGCATATTGTTGTACGGCGTCTTAGAGATAAGCCCATCTGCTTCATAACCGATCCACCCATCCACGGCTAGCTTTAAACTCTGGTTTCGGTATTCCAAGAACTTCAGCCTCCTGTTTTGCTTTACTTCTTATAGTGTCACTAGTCACAGGTTGTCCATTCTTCCTCCTTTCACGTACAGATTCCAAAAATTTTTCTTCAATTTTAGGGTGTCTTCCTTTGCGAGGGCCAGTGAATTTCTTTCTACTAATTTTAGTTGCAAACAGTGCCAATTTCTGTTGCTCCCACAAGCGAACATTGCTCTCAGCTACGTTTAACTCTCTCCCAGCCTTTCTATTGCCATTTCTTTCAGGATAAAGAATTACTTTACATTTGAAAGTAGCGTCATATGACATTCTTCTCTGCTTGCCCTCTATTTCGTGACTAGGTACTCTGCAGTTTGTATCCTCTATGCAATAATGTGTCAACGATAAATGTAACAGTAAATGTAGTCAAGAAATACAGTAATCCATTGTTACGATTTAAATTTGGTTGACGTCATCGGCGAACTTTGCACTCGAATCTAATGTGCACCCCAATTTTGAGTACTACATTTGGCCTAAAACGATGCACATTAGATTCGCGTAAATATGGTAGTTTATAATTTTAAACAGTTGACCATGTTCTAATTGTCAAAGTAACCCCTAATTATCAAAAAAAAAAAAAAAAAAAAAAAACACTGCATTACTGCAACTTGCTGTTGGGGTGACTTTTAATATAGGTTAGGAACTATATATTATCAACAGATTCCATTGATGATTTATGTCAAAGCTTACAGAACAGCACTGCAAATTTGTATGTAACTTACACTAGAACAAAAAAAAAATCATTTTGCAGTATTTAAAGAATTAATTTAATGATTTAGGTCTACGTTTGATGTGTATATGTTAGTAAAGAGAAATCTAAACTTCTTTATCCAAAAGAAATTAAGCAAGTTTTTAACTTACTTTAATATCTTCACTGCAAAATTCACTGCATAAATTGCAGTTTCTATGCAACATGTCTTACCTCGGCCATTGTTTTTAAAGGAATGCATATTGGTTAATAGTAAAGAAAAACTGCTACTTTCATTTTTCAAATTATTGAACTATCCTTTATTCAAAGAAAAAGCTTTCTCTACTATTGTAAAGTTCACTTCATGAACTTAATTTTCTAATCTATCTATTTTCATTCCTTCAACTGGCAGTTGTAAACATAAAAAAATGTTTGGTTTTTCAGTCAAGAAAAAAGTATGTTCAGAACATCACATAAATATTTACAATTTATATAGCAAAGACATATACTTTCCAAAATAGACGGACAGCAACAAGATCTATTTCCATTCATAAAATAAAAATTAATCAATTAAAAAATTATGATATTCTTGTCATCAAACACTTCTCTACATTTGAAAATTGCTTTGTTAATTTTGAAATGACATAAATATTCAGTTGTCACTCTGTGTTCTTACAAGTAAGACATTTGGTCACCTGAACTAACAGCAGATATAATTTCAGAAGCTTATTGAATTTTATTTTGTATAAAAAAATAACCACTGGCAATTTTGAAAAAATAAACAAACTCCTGAGGAACTTACACTGAATTTTGATTAAAATATTAAAAAAATTACCACATATTGTTTGCCTTCTTCACCGGATTTATCATTCTCACTTTCCTCAACAGAAGTGGCACAGAGATTTATCTCACGTTCTAAATCTGATAAATCTACATCTAGTTTCTCTTTGGCACTAATGAAAAAGAAATATGCATAACCTGAACTACACAATTAAAATTTCAGATAATCAGAAATTAACAACTTCATTTCTACAGCATAGACAGCATCCAGTTCATGCAAAAAAAAAAAAAAAAAAATCATATTACCTAGCAATAAAATACACAATGTAAAAATTACATATATATATTGCCTTAAAAGAGCAGGCGTTAAATACTCACTCTAAATCATTTAACTGATAGGGATATGATAATTTGTTCCTAAACCTGAGAAGGCGGTATAAGTTGGATGACTGTCAGTTGAAGGATTTGTATATAGTGTAATTACTCAATTGTATATATTGTAAAAAGCTAATTGTCTTCAGACTTATACTTTTACTAAAAAATTGGGCCTATTTCATGACTATAGTCTGTCTAATAGCTCTTGGACAGTGAAAATTCCTTTTTGCTTTCTTAAATTCTTAATCATTGCGACACAACAATTAGCCAGAAATTAATTAATTTCCATTCACTAGTATTTTCAAAAAAAATCTTAACAGACAGTCTCACTCAAATAAGAACTCCACATAATACATCCCTCAAGAATTCCAAGTCCCACCCACTACCATAAATTACTTCACCCAAGTCTTACCGACTGATATTATTCAAAGCCCCCACTGCTGCTAAGAATTTTCGGACACCCTACACTTATGAGTCAGACACGAAGAGAACACTTTGCCAACTCCCCCACTAGAAAGAATGTAAGTTACTTAATACCTTTTCTGGCCTTTATATCTTCATGAACATTCACTGTTCTTATTATATGTTATTTTTTATTTTATTTTTATATTATTTTTATATTGTCTTTGATTTGTTTTTACAAAGTTTGCATTATTTATCTTATTTTGTAATCTTCTATGTTTATTTCAACTTTACTTTGAATTCGATTTCATAATGACAATTTCCAATGTTTAATTTTTACAAATAATATATAGAACTCAAATGCATAAACATGAAAGTGTCGGGGACGGTTACTCGGGTTAATTAGGATTTCTCTACAGTAATTGCTTTTTACTCCAAATTGAATTGACTAAAATGCTTCATAAGAATAAGTTCTTTCAGTATCAGCATTGGTTCATAATCCCTTCTATTCACGGAAATATTTGGCCTGACTAAAATTGCCGGTTTGGCTTATAACTCGAGTAAAGACGAAACACTTTCGTATTTACGTATTTTTATTAATTATTGTTCATTGAACGAGAGTTGGTTTGTTCCCCTTGAAAAGTCAACTAATTTCCGATCAATGACAATGATTACATGTTTTTAATTTTTCCTTTTACAATTGAAATGTTATTCGTCATGATGATTTAACTCCAGTCCCCGTTAAAACATTATTAACATTTTGCCTTCAAATTACTTCAAAACATCTTTCAAAATATAACTTACCAATATGGATTCACTCTTTTAAAATAATTCTACTTTAATTAAACTTAGGAGATAATATAATCAATTAATCAATACTGTTTAGGAAATAAATTATTATTAACTAACTTTGCAGTAATTGTGCAAGTAGTAATAACTTGTTTTCGCACTAAATGGATTTAAGATCATACAACATTATATATATAATTTTTCGCAATTTCAGGATCTTCCCCCTAGACCAGTACTTTCCAGAACATTCTGCCATGTTACATAATCACTGCTATAAATGAAGAGTTCGCGCCATTTTTCGTCAGACTGCTCCCTGCCATCGCTGCCTTAAGACCTTGCACTGCTCTGTCGCTTCTTCTTACCTATTTTAGAATACTTATGACATCGAAAGCTTAAATTTAACCTTATCTTAATTTAAATAATTATTGGATATAAAATTATTAGATATATAATTAAATCATATTTGGAGAATCTGAAAGAATAATGACCGTCCATTTTTAAGTGAATAAAGATATGGAGTTTTAAAAAATGAAATCTTCCGGTGTCATCATTTCTACTGTTTTCCACTCTGCAATGACCACACCTGGACTCTGTGACCAGATTGCTAAGCTTTATCATTTCCAATGCCGATCTACTGCAAATATCACACACACACTTGAAATTAATCAATTTCTTGACTGATTTAATAACTTCAGATGAATGGTAATATATTTCGCAGAGAAAACCTTTTTTAATTAACAACGAACTTATTTTTATTTAGCATTCTAAACATATCAAAAAAGTAACATTCCATGCATTGTCATGCTCAAAGCAATATGTAAAAGAACATCACTTGCCACAAAAATTCTACACTATAATGAGCATATTAAATTATTGTGTATTAACTGAGTTCGTGCATGTTCCTCAACATCCTCCCACCATGCAATTTCAGGAAATTGTAACATATTCTCTACTCAGTTCATCAGTTTCAAGTTCTGACTCTTCAGAGAAAGGCCATTTATCCAGCTCTTGTTTAAGCCAATCTGGCCCCTCTCAACATCTGCTCTGTAGCAACATTTTGGCATCGCACCCTCTAGAGGAAAGATCAACTGGATTGCTTGAGCATTGTGTATAATGCCAATCATCCGGATTTGTGCATATCCTTATTTCAGTTACACGATTGGCCACAAAAACATTCCAGTGGGAGTCTTTTTTATCCATGTCAGAACTACAGACGAGTCACTCCATAGACACTTGGCACTTTGTCAATTGAAGAGCGTCAATGACTTGACGATACAGAAAATGCATGCTGTATAAGCTACTTTACTAGCATCACTAAAACAATGTAGAGAGATAGAGCATTCATCGAAGGGTCCAATCACAAGTCTAGCTACATAATTGCCAACATAAAAGGATTTCTTTAATCTAAGTGCCGTTGTTCTTAAATCTTGCGAAACATTATCCAAATGGTAGGAAATTGTTGCTCCCAACAGGAATAGACTGGAAGAAATGTCGAACACGACACGACAGTGTCTGTAGGTAACAACCTCGGTTAGATTTGAACCTTTCCACCACAGCAATTTCAAAAAGTCTCTGTCTCTGGCACACAAACTGATCTATAAGAAAACTTTTCTTACATAGGCAGTACCACCAACTGCATGTTGCCGGAACTGCATCAAAAGTTTTGGAAGCATTTCTATTAAACTCGGCCCCTTTTCAAGGCAAGCATTCGAGGAATTCCTCTTTTCAACATTCAAGGATGCATAGAATACAGGTCCCACTTTCTTAGTCAGACTGGAATCCTTGATTACTGCTTGATGAGATAAATAGTGACCAGTATCACTATTATTCAGATCTATTTCAATTATACCTTCCTCATGCCAGCCTTTAACAATACCATCATATTCTTCGAAAAAACCCATCTTCTGCAGTCTTCATGTATTGGCAAAAAGTCTTTTTTCCGCTTTATCTTTATTATCTCCAAGAATCCGATGACTATCCTTCCAAGGCAAACAGACTTCATACCTATTGCCCTCGATTACTTTAATGTTCTCTAGGAAAAATTTGATTGTTTTAGTGTATAAATTCTCCTTAGTCTTCACTTCCAACGGATCCTTTATGCCAACTGTCTCTAAATTCCATAGTTCTGTGAGATCCAAATAACAAAGTCCGACAGTATCAAGTAAGATATTATGACTTTGCACTGGGCCTTGTAGGGTCCAACCCAATCTTGTTTCAATAGCAATAAGGTTTTTGTCAATTGAAATGATATTATTCGTCATCAACTGTACGGAATAGTCGGCTCCTATTAACAATCCGATATCTGCTACCAGAATCACTGATTTTGATTTTATGTTCTTGATGTGAGGAGCATATATGTTTGAGTTTCACTCTAGGAATGTATCCACAAATTTTGTCTTTATCTAAAACCGATAATTCGTATTTGAATTTATTTTCCGTTCCTTGTACTTTGATATCAAAAGTACCATGGACCTGAGATTGTTTCAACTCCACCAAACAAATTGTGGCTCAAGGTCTCTTGATCTAATGGGACTAAATCTAGTCTCTTTATCACGTCTTTAGCTGATAATAAATTAAATTATTGTGAATTAATTCAGTTCGTGCATGTTCCTAAACAATATATAATATATATATATATATATCAGCATTTAAAAACTAGATGCTAAGCTTCATCATTTCCAATGCCGATCTACTGCAAATATCATACATATATATATATCAGCATTTAAAAACTAGAAGCTAAAGAAATTTTTAAAAAAATTGAGACCAATATATTACAACTAAATGAGACAGTTCATTTTATATAATTAGTTTACAGCATTTTGAAATACTGATTTTTAGCTGTTCTAATATTCATAATATTATATACAATAATACAAACTCCTTTTTGATGAATCACATTATATCCATGAACATTCAAGCTCAATATTTTATTTACGTAAACAGTTTCTACAATCATTTTCATGATTCACATTAGCACCAACGCTTAGTTACCATGTCATTCCACTGCAACTAATTCAGTATACATGAATACATAACTTTTTCTTTAATACAAATGTTCTAGAAGTACTGCAATTCAGCTGTTCAGTACATTCAGCTGCCTAGAAATCAATTTCCAACTGTAATGGGCAGTTCTTGAAACAATACAATCTTAAAATATATTACCTGTTTGGGCTTTAAAGCAATAGTTTAGTTCTTTAATTGTTTCCAGAGGGCAGAGACTGTCTATGTTAAAGGAAATTACCACCTTAGCACTTCCATAATTATTTGCCCCACTTCTAAATGTCTGTCAGCTCTCCATCTCAAAGTATCTTCTAAGTGAAATTTCGTTATCATAAAAGAACTCTTTTGACTATAAACTTTGAAATCAAACCTGGATTTACAGAAGCTCACGGGAAAATGGTACTTTACAAAAACTGCACACCATTGATTTAGACAATATCATGCCATTATTTGCATTTCAGAAACAGACTGATTAAACTAGACTAGGGAATTATATATATGCTTGCCCTTTTCTCCTCCACAAATAAATATGTTACAGAGATTAGTGTCTTCATGAAATATTCACTGTTTCTATGCACGCAAAGATAATTCTAGACACCATGCTTTGTACGTGTCTTTATGGATGCATACATTATTAGGCAATGTGCTTTGTTTTTTGTTAAAAACAAGTTAAATATTTCAACAAAAAATAAAAACAAGTTAAATATTTCAGTTGGTCTAGCAATTACAATAACAGTTACAAAATGCTATGCAAGTATGAATGGCTGACAGTCAATCAGTTTTCACAGTTATCATGTTTAAATAACTTATACACATGATTTTGCATTATACTTTAAAAAATATACTTACATAATTTGCTATCATGGTTGAAAAAGGGTAAAAAAAGGGCCAGAGATCAATATAATAAATGTAATCAAATTAGAATAGCTATTATAATGTTTTTAATTATATGTGCATTAAAATAAGCAGCAAATACATGATTTTACATGTATGAGGAATAGATGTGCTTTTAGAGAAATATTTAACATTTATACATATAATTCAAAAACTTGTTTAACTAGATTTTTCTCAAAACGTGAAACCTCAAAAATTGAAATCTCTTTTATACCAGGATATGCAGCTTATTAATTTGGATAATAAACTCTACCTAAAAATCATGCATGAGTAGAATTAAACTAAACTGAATTCATACACAAAATCCCTGTCCAATGCAAGGGGGAAAAAAATGCAATTTTACAAACATTTTGCTCACTGAAAAATTAATGTAGAAAATAACTTACTACTTCAAAAACTCATCACATAATACTTCAGTTGGTTCATCAAGTTGCAGAAGCAAATCAACGCATTCAGCTAATTGCTTAGGAGATGCCTGTAATTAAACGGAAAAAAATAAGAGAGAGAGAGAAGAAGGGGGGAAAAAAGAAAAAATGTTAAAGACCTTGCACAATATTGTTGAAAATACTTGAAATGTATAATGGTTTTAAACCACCACTTTTCAATTAAAAAAATCAACTTTACATTTATGTTACAGCAAAATAAAATGAAAAAATTACTTGCATCTTTTGATTTAAATTGTTCCCTTAATTTCTGTTTTAATTGGTTAACTAACATATCACAGTCTTCTTGAATACCATGAAAGGAAGGCATATGCTCATACTGTAGCAAAACTCTCTGAGCTTTCAAATAATACCTATGATTAAAAAAGAAAACTATTAATTAATCAAAAGTTCAAAATACACCATTCAAAACTATAGCAAAACTTAATTACATATATTTTTTAGCCTATTAAATTGAATTTAAATTTGCTGAGGTTGTAAAAGAGGTTTTCTTATCATTCATTTCTTCCTTTTTCTTCTTTCATTCATTTATCCATGCAAGTTTCTGATAAATGTCCGTATGAAAAGTAAAAAGTTTTATAGAATAACGCAAAATAAGAGGCAGAAATTCTATAAATAAAACCAAATTTTATAATTATATAGAAACTACAAGCAAATACTGTACTTTGTAATGTAAGTTCATTAACGTAAGTAATTATTAACGCAAGTCTTTGTAACGTAAGTAAGATTAGACCACATCATATTTAAGGCAGAGGCAATGCAATTAGTGCAGGCAGAATATTGTTAGCAAAGTTTCAATATAAAAGTGTTATCAAATATTTATTACAAATCAAGTTCTGCATAATTTACAATAGGTCATACCTACTCTGACCTAAGTTATAAAAGAGATATCAACCAATTAGCAAGAGCATTGAGTATGATATCCTTAATCATTGCTCAGATGGAAAGTACGAAGCTAAAACTTACATAAATTTCAAAAGTTAGTCAAAATGATAGAGAGAAATTTTGATAGTACATGCAGGGTCTCTCAGAATGAATGGTCAGATTTCGTCAGATGTTTGTGAAGTATTATTTTAAATAAATGGGAAGTTTATAGCACTGAGCGACTCTAAAAGAATAAGTGCACGTATTTTATTGTGTACAGAAAGCACCAACAGATGACAAATGATTCAGGTGACCTTTCTATGAAAGTCCACACTTGCATTAAACTGAACTGAAGGACTGCTGGTGTAGGTTTATCTACACCAGCAGTTTGTAGGTTTATCTACACCAGCAGTTCCTACCTTTTCTCTCTTATTAAAAAGACAATGGTTCCTCCCTTTAAAAAGACAATGGTTGTGTACAATACTCCTAATCTCCCCTTTCAAAGCTGTAACCCCCTCCCTCATTCCCTTACAATATATTTTACTATTGTACAATATTGGTTCTAAAATTAACAGACAACAATGAATAAGGACAGAAATATATGATGAAGAAAGACTATTACTTGTTTCAAATAAATACAGTGATAACATGTATTTTAAATTAAAACATATTATTAATATAGTCTAATTATTTTAATACAACTTTTTTTAATGAAAACAAACTAAAAAATATAGTGAATCGATGAATTTTCTGAATACAAATGAGATCCAGGCTTATACTGAAACACTAAATATTCTTGAACTAGTATTGTATCACAGTAAACTATTAAACCTACAGTTATTTTAAAACGACTTATTATATAACTTCACATTTGTTAAATTTAAAACAAAAATTAAAAACTGATTTTGAAAGGTTCAATACACTGGCTTTCTCATGAACATATTCATGAAGGCAAAAATAAGACTATTTTTTATTCTTAATTACTGTTGATTTAAAAATTAACAGACATGTCCTTGTTTCTCCAAGAAATTATATTGTTTGGGACATTAATACTGTTAAATTTTTCAAATGTGTTCTTCCTCCGAACAAGCACTGAGCAGCATTAAATTTTCAGCAACTGTATGGTTTTCATCACTTTTAAAGATATGATTAACTTATTATATAGTACACTTCAATCGCAGTATCATCATTTGCATTAGCTGATAATAAATAAGATTAGAATCTTTAAACAGTTGCTGAAAAAAAGGTAACTATTTATTACTTTTTTAACTAGAGTGTTTAGTTCCTAAATGATGCAACAGAAATGAAGATTTTGTGCATCTATTTGACAAAAACTTTTCTGTCTTACATAAAGAGGGCTAAGATTGTCCTTGTCTTTTGAGAATGAAAATCGTTACTAATCATCAATCAGAATACTTTTTCTTTTAAGTAGAACAGCTGTTTGGAAATTTTTTATTACCAGACAGCCAATCTCCTGCCAGAGTAATAGCTTAATCCTGACCCTTAGCTGGTTATTTGGTGATGCCAAATGAGAGCCATTATCCATGGTAGTTTTAGTTCTGGACAAAAATTTACTTCTTAATCACTCATTCATTTTTATTTTAACAAACCTTACAATTAAAAGCTCTAAAAGAACAAAACTTAATGAAAAATAAAACTCCGTTCTCAAACAACTACGATTGTAATATAACTAAAGGAAGACAACCACATAACTCATTTGATGATTCACTTCATGGTAAAAATGTTATTGACTGCCAATCAATTTACTAGACATGCTATGACAAAGTGAGAAGGGGAAAATATAAACAATGTGAGCAAGGCTCAGTTGCAACATTGCTTTGTACACATTTTGGTCAATGAAGATCGCACCGGAATTCTTCGAAATTCCTTTATCTTTTATTAAAATGACAACTGACTTTCTGCATATTTTGTTTTTTCTCAGTGTTTATTACAACACTTTGTTGTATTCCAGCATCTCTGTCAATTTTTGCTAACAGTTCCTTTCTTTCCCCAAAAAGGTGGGCCACTTGCCTTTAATGGCATTGGCCACTACTAAGCCCAGAAGTGGTGGCCATTTCATTCTGGAGGTAACTAACACATGGCCACCATTACTTCCTATGAAGAGACATATTTATATCCTTGCCTTCTCTGGGATTCAAACCTGGGCCCTTTGGTATCGCAGTCAGGCTCCACTAACCACTATACCATCTGGGTGGCGTTTTTGCCACAGGTTGGGAATTGTTAATTTACACTATTACATAACAATGAACCAGAATTTTTTTTAAATATTCTCTAATCAGAAAAAGTTATATTCCATATAGATGGTTGCGTAAATCGATATAACTGCAAAATTTGGGGCTTCAGATATATGCATATGAATACATTCCTGATTCTCTTACGGCTATACATTCATGATTCTCCAAAGGCTGATATCTGGTATGGCCTAATAAGAAATAAGATTTAATTCTTCTCTATTGAAACTCATATCAATAATTATATACTTGGATATACTACAGATCGTTAAGATCCCTCAAATTGAGCAAATGGAAATGCAAGATTCTAAATTGTAGATCTTTGTACAACATGATGGAGAATCAATTAACTTCTAAAGTCATGTGAAAGATGAACCAAATTGTCAGTTTTTAGGCCAGGGGCCTAGCAGAAACATATGTTTCCCAAGAACAGCAGTGAGTACTAATCTTAACATCATTAGACGTTTATTTTTCAGAACTGTCAAAAATGAGAGTTACAATAACAAAATTAATAATCTTGACCACCTCAAGAAAATCACATAAACAATTTCAAGTGTTAACCAGACATTCTTGCCACCGTAGCAACCATAAATGAATGCTACCATGATTCTGTCAAGATGTTAATGGTGTACACAGCAAACTTGCTAATATTATTCATGATCCCTTTGAGTAAAAGTAAATATAAGCACATTCAATCCATTCTGCAAAATGCATACTTCACAGAGAATACATGGAATCCTATTGTTCATTTTTCTTTTAACACAAGGTGTTAACACACTTTCAGAATAATTTAAGGGCTCTTACTTATATTTAAAGCAGATATATTTGGTATTTAAATGTTCAGTCTAATTCCTTTTTTCCGGATAAAACACATTCCAGAATTGATGATACTATTCTGTACTCACCGATTCGTTGTCAAATGTAATGGCTGATGCAAATGGGATTTAACTATTCATGTTTCCCAAGCTGGAAAATATGCAATCAAGAACAGAATACTTTACTCAAATAACAGGACAAGCATATCAAGAGTGAATATTTTTTGGGTGGAGGAGGCATTGGTATTGTTATCTACTGTTTTTTTAATTAAAAGTACATTCTAAAACAGACTCTACCAGTATGAGAAATGACAATGCAGTGAAATGAATGAGCACTGCTAACACTGTGATCAATAATGAGACACACACAAGTTGCTTTACAGCATGTCCAACTTGATGCTGACAAATGAAGCATTATCTTCCATGAAGTATAACGCAGGTGACGGGACAGCTTCCGACCTTAGGCTCATGTGACCAAACGGAATTAGTGCCGCCCCACCGTATTTACAATCTACCATGTTGGGACCCCACAGAGCAAGGGCAGACAAGGCAGTACCAGTACGGTCCCTGCTGAGCCTTACTCTGTCCCGAGAGCCCTCAGGCCTTCTGTGAAGTCTGCTATTTTGCCCCTGTGGTTGAGACTGCCTAGGTACAGATCCTAACCAGAAATTCTTCTGAGATGTGAAATGGATATTATGTAATAGTAAATGAAAATTTGAAAATACATTAAAATTTATGCTTAGTGCAGGCATGAGAAGCTGACCCATAAAACCAATATATGATAATGTACCAGGAATTGTTGCATCAGACTAAGCTGTTTTCAATAACATGAAAAGCTGTGTTGTTAACCACGCCTCAATAACAAAGAACTGCAGCAGACTGTCCATCGGTAGGTCTGCAATGCCTCTAAAGAATCATTTGCATTCTGAAAATTCCCTGGGAAATGAGAACACTGCAACTAGTTGGATGCAAATTACCCATGACAGTCATGTATGTATTATTCAATTATAGTTACTCTGTCACTTTACTCATCTTATTCCAAATCATTAAACAGTAACCTAAATATAGCACAAAACTTTGATCAGGTTCTGAGAAATTACAAATAATATCACAGATAACTACAATGACTACTTCAAATAAAATTTCAAATAAATTATCAAGAAACCAGATATCTAGAATTTCAGTTTGGGATTGCTTATTTACCTTTCTAAGCCAACCAAAATTAAACATATTCTTAACTGATTTATGTTTTTTTAAATCTTTTCACCAATTTAAATAATGTAAAAAGGCACAATCTAAATACTGGACATATTTTTAAGGAAAATTTTAATTAATTTAGAAGAATGTGTACATGTAGACTGTCTTACTGTCTTCTGCACTTGAAAAAATTCAAAATCTTTCCTAAATACAGATGAAACTGTATTTTTTTAAATTTTACTGCAGCTACAAAAAAGAAGAAACGAAAAAGACTGCAGCTAAAAGTGGGATGAAATGATAGTCTAAAAAATTTACTACGAGTCATTCTATCATAAAAGATTAATTTATGATTATACAAGTTATGGTATGATTTTATTTTTAGAGATTAAATTGAATTAAAGGAAATTTAAGCACGAGACTTAAAAAAAATTGATTTCATAATTTATTCAGACTACATGGAAGCATTCAAATAACAATAACTTTCCATGACTATTCAATATTTTAATGGCATAATAGAGTCAAAAGTCGTTAATCCGGACTCGTCGGGACTTTGGCGATTCCGGATTATAGATCATCGGTTTAAATCTCATAAGATGGCATGCAGAATTTCTAAAATTAAAAATATGAAACCGTAATTTATGAAATAAAGAACAATTATGATCTAAAGGGTATCAAAATTTATAAAAAAAAAGGTTAATACTTATTTGTTTACTTTATTAAACATTTCTTTCAATGTAAGTTGTTTAAGTTGCTTCGTTTTATGTGATAATACTTTCTCTTTAATTCTATAAACAGACATAATTTCTTGTTCAGTTACAAAGTTCCGCTGTTCAAGTCCTGTTATTGCTGTGCCGAGAATACCGACTAACTTGTCAATCAAAATTTTTCATTTTCACTAACCTCTCTGTCACATTCTTCATGTCTTCATCCATTTTTTCCAGCAATTCGACTTTTCGTTTGATGGACGTCGAAACATACTTTCGTTTTGTATGATTCTTTGGGAGTTCCAGAATCGGAAATTCTATTTGACATAATCGAAAGTTCGAGTTTACTTTTATAAAATTGCTCTTACAGTCTGCAAAAAATAATAAGCGGGATCCAATCCGAAAATTAAGGAACAACGCAATCATTCATATTAACTGAAATAGATAATTAGATAATTTTAGCTTATACCGTCCGTTATACACAAAACGCGCACGCGAAAACATATTCTGCGCTTGCGCACACGCATATGCGCAGACGTAAAAGGTCTTACATGCATGCGTAAACGCCTATGCGCATGTGTCAATGCGGCGCATGCGCAGACAGTTTTTAGCTTTGAGGTCCGGATTATGGGTGTCCGAATTAACAACTTTTGACTCTATACTGATAAATCATTTTCTGTCACCCTTCTAAAACATCATATATCAGCCATTTACAAACTTTTTGTCAAACCCTAGTAAGGTGTCATAACCCATGTTTACTGCAAAAATTCTTTCCTAATACACAAGTGATTTGTGTATCAGGAATCACTTGTTACACAAATCACAATTTAAAATTTTAATGGCTTATTAGAGCAATAATTTTTTTTTAAAACTGTAAGAGATGAGATATTTTTGCAACTGAAAAGATAAATATGAATTACAAACACAACGAATAATAATACTTACTAAAATTCAAGCATGTGTGTACTTAATAATCTGTAGTGGTAACTTAATGTAACTAAAACTCCTACATCATGCAAATATGGTAGCTGAAGAAAACATTTTAATAAGTTAACTAATAATTTAACCAGGATGAAAAGTATTATAAATTGCTATGGAACATCTATTAAAAGTGATAATGACTTAATTTCTCTTTTAAAAAAGATTCTTTATTCTGTTCTTCATACTGAACTTTTAAAGTCACAAAGAATACAAACAATACAGTTTTCATAAATTAAAGATTAATCGAGGAAATTAGTTATTCCAATTTCTTTTACCATGCCTTTAAGTAACAGTAGCTGTTGTATAATGAAGTAAAAATATACGCTAGTTACCTTACAGCTTGTCCATATGATCCATTTTGTATGCATGTTTTCAAACATGGTGGTAATTCAAACAGAAACTGCAGCTTTTTTAAAAGTGTATGCACACCAGTCAGCTTAGATATTTCCTGCCTTCGACCCTGCAGTGTACTTGAAATATTTCCACTAAACTCTGTGATGATTGACATATTAGAAGACAAACAATCCATTTCTTCCTCCATTTTTTTAAAATCATTCTTCATCTAAGAGTATTTTAATGCAGGAAATACAAACAAAGAAGATTATAACAAAACAACAGAAAGAGAAGATATTTTAAACATTCTTGGAAGATTAATTAAATTTAAAAAATAAAGTTCAGTTAATTTAACAAAATAAATGTCACACAATTATCTAAAATTAAGTAGAAAAATATCTTATAAAAACATATCGGTACTTTTCCGTTTTGCTCGCGCAAATCTCACCAAGCAGACTTTATTGGCGACAACATATAGTATACATATAAAAAATGCTAATCTTAAGAATTTTTTATTTTGAAGGCATAAACATTTTAATATCATTTAACATTTTGTAAAATGCCAATAAATAAAAGACAATAAATTTATGAAAAGGCATTAAGAATTTACTATGCTATTATAGCTCAACATCCTGATTTGTCGGCTCATATCACGTGACTCCAAGTGATCTCATCTCACGTAAACTATGCTACAAAAATCTAATTCACTTGGTAATTATCTACATTAATTTCAAGTAAAATCTTAATTTGGAATACAAGTTTAAATGCAAGAAGTATTTCTATTCGTTCAAATAGCTTACTCAGAAATTATGTTAACTGCAGTGCTTTACTTCGCTAGTGCATTCTCGTTAGAATTGATGAATTTAACCCTTGACTTTGCGTTTTCTATATTTTCGGCTTCGGGTACGCGGTGTGATTGCATTCTTGACTTAATTACCACTAATGGCCTTAGGGCACAAAATTGAACTGCCTGGTAAAAATTCTATGTAATTGTATGCCAGTATTGAAAGAAACAATCAATCTGATAAGAAATGACTGCGACTTGTTTTGAAAATGAGGCGTAAATGGGTTGCCATCGAGGATATTCCGTTTGGCATCACTTGTACCATTATTGGCGATTTTATTGCCTGCGCCGGCAAAACAGAAAAGTACCAACATATCTTTTCTATATAAAATGGTAATAATCAATAAGAAAAAGTTTATATTTTTTAATTGTGCTCTCTTTTCAAAACTGTTGTTCAATTACATTTAAAATAACAAGCCAACAAAGATATAAAAACTGGTGAAGGAAACTGAATAAAAAAAAAGCGTATTATTTATAACCTAAAAAATTTCAATACGGTAAAAATTACACATTTTGTATGCTAAATAGCAATAGAATTTTTCTCCCTGCACCAATTTCAAGGTTAAACTTAATAAAAAATATTGGATAAATTCTTGGAAGACAGAAGATTTTTTTAATTGAGCATTTTCATAATTACGTCAGCTATTTTTATCTTTAAAATTTCCAGTTCAGCATCGGTAGCAGAAAGGGAAACACACTCATAATTGATTTCATAAAACTTGACAGAGAATTCTTTATTGTAAATGTATTTATCTCCCCCCCCTACAAGCAGATTTTGAAATATATAAAACTGGGTATCAATATGTGTGTTACACTAAAGGCAGAATTCCATGTGTATATTGCTGATATTACAGTCAAAATGTAAGGAGTGTATTACATTTTAATACAGTCAAAGTAAAGCAATCTAACATAATGAAAAATAAAAGTTTTTGCAAAACTTTCAAAAATGAATCTTTTTGGGGAGCGACGGGCAAGGAATTCCATGCTTTTGCTTAATTTATTACCTAAGACTGCAGAAAGTTTTGCTTTTCTAAAATCTATCTCATTATACAGTACGAAGTCCGAAATCCGGACGTCCATTATCTGGAATGATCTAAAATCCGGATGTCCATTATCCAAAATGATCTAAAATCCGGACCTCAAAACCAACAATGTCTTTCTCATAGGCTTCACGCATGCCCATTTTATTACCCCCCCCCGCACATAATAAAACATCTGAAGAGTCCTGATTCTCAATTTCACTTTGACACTAAATAAAACACCTTGTTATTGAAGAAACAATCATTTTAGCATAAATTTGTACAATCAGTAATTTGCCTCCGTTGCTGCATATCTGCTTTGTCACACATCTCAACCAAAAACATTCCATATAGATAGATCATTGATCTGACGCCAACCTGGCAATTCATTATTTATTATACTTTCCTTTCATCAACGCATATTTATTGAAACATGTCAATTTGAGTAATGACTTATGTAGCGATGCCTAAACAATTTTTTTTTATGTTAGTAATTCAATAATAAAGGAGTATCGCAACCTTTTATGTTGACATTACGCCTGGCAATGATTACAAATTTAAGTTAAATGCGCTAAAAAAGTTGACGAGGAAAAATTTACCAAAAATTTCTTTCCATGTGCTAAAAATAGATTTTGTTAATGATACTCATAGACCCAAAGATTACATTTAGGGCTATTTGAATTAAGAAGAACTGATTTATTATTCACCAAAACCAGCGCCAGGGCCCGTACGGCTGCACCGAGTTGCAGAATTTAGGACCCACAGAGACTGCATCAGGCAATAAAATATCTAGCATCGGCCCTCAATAAGCTTAGAATATATGTGGGAATTTATTTATTCAGAACTCTGATAAGCCTTCAACAAGTAAAAGAAATAGACATAAGTATAGTAAATAACTAAACTAATACAATTCAGGCTTAATTCTCTCAGTGTGCCATAGAAGCACAATAAAATTTAACAGAACAACTTGTCGTTAGTTGCCAAGCTCATGATGCATAGCCAAATATGTATAGTGAAGGATAGCTAAATTTGATGATGATAGCCACTAATTTTAAGTTTTCAGATATTGCAAAACAAAGGTGAAATTTTCCAATTAACGGATTTTGTATAGAAATGTGGAGAACTGGTAATAAATGAAAATGATATAAAAGAAGTTTTCATTGTGATGACAATGCTGTTCGATCATCAATCAATTAATGAATGGTGAAATTCGTAGTATGGTTCTAGATCCATAAAATACTGCTACCGATAGTGAAGAAAGTGACAGAGAAGTTACTGAAAACAAGAAAATTTTGATTGACAAGTTAATCGAAATTCTCAAAACAACAGTTACAGGACTTCAACGATGTAACTAAATAAGAGATTATGTCTGTCTACAGAATTCAAGAGAAAGTATTAGCACAAAAAAACAAAACAACTTAAAAAACTTACATTGAAAGAAAAGTTTTCTAAGGTAAACAGATATTAAGCTTCCTTTTTTTTTTTTTTTTTTTTTTTTGTGTGTGTGTGTGTGTGTGTAAATTTTGATACCCTTTAGATCATAAATACTTCATTATTTCATAAATCAGGATTTCATATTTTTAATTTTATAATTTCTACATGCCATCTTCCTAGATTTAAACTGATGATATAATACCCAGAAAAATCCCATATTGGGAATCACCGAAGTCCTGGATTCCGGACTTTGTACTGTAGTAATTGGTATTGTTTTATCATTTCTTCAATTATATTTTGCTTTGTCAACACTTCTGAAATTTTGTTATTAGATTTTAGAATGATTCAAGACTTTTTCTTCACTTCAGTTGCTTAAATAGTCACATACTGCATTGAATACAATTAATGATCTGTATATTATGTTCTTATAAAAAAATGAGAAAAGTAATACGTCAGAGAGACATTAAAAATTTACCTTTCTAATGGTATCAGTGGCACTTATGAATTTATTGTAGTTCTCATAAACAAGTGTTTGCATTTCACTATCCAGCGACTGAATCTGTCTATATATTTGATGTTCTTTCTGCATTAACTGATTTAGATTGCATTCCTTTAACAGCTAAAAGTGAAAAGCAATACATCAATTACATTTTCTTAATTTCTCATCAAATAATAAGTACAGTTTCATATATCAAACACTATATATTACACTACCTAGTATATATTACATACTTCTTAAAAATATTTGACCCTCTTATCTCTTTAATAGAACTATAAATCATTCTCATCAGAAAGCTACAAAAACAAACCAAAGAGTAAAATATTGTACAATTTATGGTAATAAATGCAATGTTAACACAGCACTGTATGAATGAAGTCTTGGAACTTAGAGGGTTAAATTTTTTATCCTCCCATTCAAACGCATGATTTAACTACAATTTGAAGACAGATTTAGTGCTACTCAGTTAAATAAATAATTGAGGTAAACACAAATACAAATAATATCACTCCAATATATTTTGAATTCTTTTATTTACTACATGATACAAAGTATAGAAATGATTAATATTTATACAGAGATCATTATATTTACAAATACTGCATACTGAAAAAATTTGAGTACATTCTTCTCTTCTGTTAATGAAACGATTCCATATTTTAAGTTTCTGAAAGTCTGAAATTAATTTTTTTAATGCTGAAAAGTTCTTTTTTTTTTTTTTTTTTTTTTTTTTTTTTTCTTCCTAAATGAATTGAAACAATGTATACAAAATGGTAGTTAAGTGGTTCTGCGCTAGAATTTGCATCATACTCATTGTTTTATACTTAGAAAACACAACAAAAATCAAGTGTACTATTACTTTTGTGGTAATTACGGAAAAATTTACCTCTGATGTTAAAAAAAATTGTCCACTATAACCAGGGATAATTAAATGAAAAACAGCTAATTCCTCATATTTTACTGACAAATTTCACAACTGAATTATATTTATTTTATATAATTTTTTAGTCAAACAAAAAGGATATCAAATTATTTATTTGGAAGTAGAAAACAGTGACTAATAGTTTATAAACAATAACAATTTCACTTTCTTATTCAAAAGAAGAAGGCATTTACAAATTTGTCTAGTTAGAAATGGAAGATTTACAATAACTACAAAAATTTAGGTATTTGTATCCTAACCTCACTTGGGATTAGGTTGGACTGTTTGACTATGGATTACACACTAATGGTATCTTCTTAACCCCTTCCAGCTTATGCTTTTAAACGGCTTATGCTTTATAAATATTTATATATATATATATACTTTAATTACCTTATTTCTTGTTTAAATGCATATTTTACACATTTTATTTTAATTACTCACCATTTTATGAATTTTAACATTATACATCTGAAAACTAAATATATTACTTAAAATTCTCTTTTCGTATGAAAAATTTGAAAACAGGGATCTACACACAGTCCTATGTTACATTCCTTGCACTCGTAATAACTTATTTGCCGTTTTGGAGGATTTTTCCGGGAATGTGAACAAACGAAGCATCGTCGTCTCATTTTCATATCAGTCTCTTCTGAACAAAGTTTTGGAAAATGTCTTTCAGTTAATCTTTCAGAATATCAGAATTTCAGAATCAATATCTGAAATATTTTGCATCATTTCTTTCTGCTATTTCATGCTCTGTTAAACATTTTTGACGCTTCGACATTGCAACGGTAAAAACAAAGAATTCACGTCTAACAAGATCTAATTATTTTCTAAAAACTGAACTGCAAACCGAAATACCCAACGCTTTAGAGCAAATAAAACTTCTTACAGTAAACAACTACCACACGTGCGAATAAAGTGAGATTTAAAGAGACGTCATAAATCACGCCATTCGGAAACATTTATTTCCCCGTTTGTTTATATAATCAAAAACACGTGTATGTGAGTCATGCTTCTCTCATTTCGAGTAGAAGGTCTAATTTACATGTATCTGAAACCATATGGACATACAGTGCCATCTTGTGGCAGAAATTATAGTTTGAAAAACGTTCCAAAGTACTGGCACAAATACGTGACAGTCGGTAGAGAATGGAACAATCCTCTGGCACGCCTGCGTGTCGGCCGGTAGGTAAGTGCGTTCGTTGCTGGCACGTATACGTGACAGTCGGCGCGAAAGGGTTAAAGGAAGGAAAATCTTGATGCAGAATTTTGTAAGGGAAACAGGCTCATATTCATGTTACATAAAAGGAGAATTACAAAGACACACATTTAACCCGCTTGTTCCCTTGTATTATAGCACAGCTCAAACTATCGCTGTTCAGAAGTCTTATCTACTGATCTACCGGTGGGCTATCTGAGACTTAGCCTCAGTAGATTATAAAGAAATTTTGATAGCAAGATGAACGACAGTTACTTTGATTATTGTGTATGTAACTATGGCTTGCCTCCTCCCCCATGTTTTTAATAATTTTTAATACTTATAATACATAAATCAAACAGCACCTTATTCACTATTTGGTGTATGTCAAAAGACCCATGAAGGGAAAAAATAAATGCAAATATGCCATAGCTGCCAAATGTTGAAATCTGAAAAACTAATAGAAACCAGGTTTTCACACAGTATGGTGATGCCATTTCAAAGAAGCTTCTAGGGCCCACCAGCAGCCGAGCGGTAAAGTCGCTGAACACTGGTAGTTCGGTCTGAGGTTCGAATCGCGAACGGGCTGGCTGCATGGGCATTTTCGTGGTTTTCCCCATGTGTAACGTGTATACGAGCCAGTTTCCCTTAGAAAGTCCTCCACGAAGGCACCCCTCCCCTTAGGCAGATAGCCCTCGTGTGCTTTGCCATAATTAAATACACCAACACCAAACAAGCTTCTAACTGACTGAAATTCACTTTATAATGCATTGTTCAAGTTATTAAACCATTTGTAATATAATACTGATGTAAAACATATTAGTATTTTATTAGATATTCTAAATTTTATTATCTTTGGCTAATTTTATTTTGAATTTTTTGCACATTTATACTCAAAAAATCCTGAATAGGGAACAAAAGCTTACTTATTGAAGCACTTTTGAATATGATGAAAATAAAATTAATAATTAATGCACATAATTTTTATCTGTATAAACTTGGTAATATACCATGTAATGAAGTAAATACAAATATTGACTGATTAACCATTGGTTGAAGCTTCAAACAAAAATCTACAAATTAAATTAAGACAACTCAGATAAAATGAAATTTAATAAGAAAAAGGTCCATAAAATAAGAAAAAATACAGTTCAGGTGAAATAAAATTTAAACAAAAAAAAAAGTTTTCTGAAAATCACTAGGGAAGGAAGAATAGACTTTAGTTTATTCAGTTAATAAATTTTATTTATTGCTGAAAATGCTTCCCTTAAAGGTAAAAATTAAAAACTGGTGATCTACTGGGAGAAAAACTAAACATTCGACAGCTATGACATGTGAAAAAAATAGAACTTGCCATCATGTGCTTAACATTCATTGAAGTTTAAAGTTATGAATATAAAAAGAGGCATATATTATTCACAAATTACAGCTATTTCTTATGTCTACCAAAGCTCTTACTCTGGGATAACGTATAAGCATTAAAACTACTTTCAGGGTTACTCAGAGCTTTCCAGAATGGTTAAACTTTCCTTCAGTTTGTTATTGGAAAGGAACATTTTCATCCCTCTTTCTTTTCCCAAAACAAAAAATGCTATAGAAAAGATGTGAAATAATATGCATCTTTAACTTATTTTGCATATACTTCTGTCCTGTGTTCAGATAAAATCAACTTTCATAAAATAATTATTAAAACAAACTATAAATTGCAAGAGAAATTGAATGCAAATGGTTTTAAGAATCTCAATCCAGCCAAAATATATATAATGCATATTCTGCTCAAGATGGTTTTTGATTTACATTCTATGTTCTGGATAACCAATACTTATTACAATTAAGATAATAAATATTAATTTAGAAGCAAAACAACAAAAAACAGTGTTATATTTGCAAATTTTCACAGGACTGCTTTTGATGGTTTTACCGAAAAATCATTCTCAGCTGTCAAAGTGCAAGAATGGCTGGAAAGGAGTTAAGCTACTGATGCCATCTACTGATGAAACAACAACTAAACCATAATTTCCTTAAAGGCTGTAGGCAAAGACGGATTGGAATTAGGGTCATTAACTACAACAGAAAGATTTTTTTGACTGTGAAATGCCTCTAGAAAATCCAATTCACCAATGGAAGATGCTTTTTAAATAATTTTATCTGCAGAAAAATTGAAAGTGTGATTTTCCAATCAACAATCAATGTTGGGCAACAGAGCCAATCTGTGTTTCCTTTTTCCTAACATATGCCTCATGTTCCTTAACGTAAAATTTTAATGCTCTCTTAGTTTCACCAATGTAAATTAAATCATACTAGCAAGGATTCCTGTAAATACCCCAGGAATTCATATCCGGAATGGGGTCCTTGAGTATGGAACTCGGAATTTTATTGATAGGAGAATAAATGATATGAATTTTAAATTTCTACGAAATACGTGCAATTTTATAGCTAATTTATGGAGAGAAAAGAATGACAACAAAATTCTTATAATTCCCTAAAACAAGAGCGTGCCTTTTGTTGTGCTGCAATGAGAATTTTTTAACTGCTTGATTAATAATATTGGGTGAAAAGCCCTTGACCAAAAGCCAATTTGGAGAAGCAAACTTGAAATGCATAGAAAAGAAAGGAATAAAATGAAGTTAACTTGTGTTTAGTCGGATGACATGATTTGAAGTGTGGTGGAAGGCAAACCAATGAAGGTTTACTGTAAACAATAGTACTGACAGTTGGATGCGTTATGTGTGACCAAAATGTCGAGGAACGGAAGAAAATTGCATATCTCAAGTTTAAAAGTGAATTGAATAGCAGAATCCATGGAATTAACTGTTGAAAGAACTTTATTTAAACCATCTTTATTACCGTCAAACAGGGTAAAATTATCATCTGCATAGCAGAACCATACCGGGAAGTTTAAAGTTTCAAATAATTTTTATTCATAATAATGCACGTAATATACACTGGATCTTCTGATTTACAAGCTGCTCCATCTCACAATATATCACTTAC